CCGTTGCTGCCTCTGTCGTCGTCACGGCGACTTTTCTTTGCCGAGTGTCAAACCGGCACTCGATAAAATCTTTGCCGAGTGCCCGATAAATAACACTCGGCAAAGCGCCCTTTGCCGACAAATTTTTTGTTGAGTGCGCTTTGCCGAATGTGGCACTCGGCAAAGCCTTTGCCGAGTGTAAACTGATCTTTGCCGAGTGCCGGGCACTCGGCAAATCGGCCGTTTCGGGTAGTGAGTAGTTGTCCGGGTAGTAAACTGACGATGAAGGAAGCCAGAATTGAACAGTCCCAATTATTGTTGTACAGAAACAAGAAGTGATATGAACTAACCCTGTACATGCTCCAGTTTAACCGGTCCTTAGTAAAACCCGGCCTAACCCGTCAAAGATACTATCCAGCGGTTAGGAACCAGCGGGTTTCGTGGTTTCCGCGGTTAAACTCGTTCCGATCCATCAATTCGAGCAGTCAAGATGGTCACCCCAAGCGACTTTGACTAGAAATATAAATAGCTTCTCATGAATATAAATAACACGTGAAATATAAATAGCATGCCAAATATAAATAGTGCGAAATGTAAACGCAACAGCAAACGAAAATATAAAACTCACGCGAAAGATAAAGGCAACCCGACAACAGAAATATAAAACGCACACAAAATATAAGAGCAACACCACAGCTGAAATATAAAACGCATGCAAAATGTAAAGCAACACCACAATTATAACGGTAAAATACTCGCGGAAAGTAAATAGCTTTCAAAGTAAAAGTTAGCGAAATGTTAGCATGTTAGTAGTTTTCTTGTTAGTCAATACAGAAAATAAATACTCCTCTAGCAGTATAAAATAATTTTCTACTGCTCTAGCAGTATTTCGGCAGCATATTTGCCGCCAGACAAAATCCCTAGTGACAGTATGAGCCACTTATATGGAAACACCTTCATTGTTATCGACTACTTCGTACTCTACCACTACTGTCAACCTTAACTTTACTAGCTATTTCTACAGAGCCTGGCCGTAGTGAAAGTGCTCGTCCACACGAGCGTGACACCGCTCCTAGCCTTTTAGCTAGGCGAGCGAGCTCTGTTGTGCCGAGGTGCCGGAGGCAGAGAGCCTGCAGCGCTATTTATAGGGCCCCGGAGGCCATCTCCCGGCCACCCGGGAAGGCTCGAGCTGAGAAACGGCACTTAAATAATCTGGAGCGGCCGAACGGATGAGATCGACCAGTTAATAGCGCTATAAATTATTAATCACACCGCGCCACGGGATCCCGGTAGAGGTTGGTAGAGTAGTGTAGAACCTGGACGTTAATATCTCCCGCTTAATTAATAGTTTGTACTTTTTCCCTTTACCATCGGCGAATATTTACGTACATGCTAGCTACTGGCCTGCTCTCCTATCTAGTACTCACAGTTTCATACATACACGTACTCCATGCAGCGGGTCAACGTCCAAAGAAACCGTTGCTAGCTTGATCCTATATTCCTATCTTACTTCTTCACTGTTGATCTGGGAAACTAAATTGAAGCTCCTTGTTTAGTCCAGTAAATAGATAAGACCGACAGTTAAATATTGTTAGTGGTAGAATAGTGTAGAACGAGGCTCGGCGGCAATATCTCTAACTCCATTAATTTTACTGTTTTTCTAATACGCCGGTTGATATTTTTTTTGCTGCTATATATGTATAGCTATCTCTCAGACTCTCAGTATGTATACTCCCTCCGGAATAAAATATGCAACCAATGAGCCTCTATATATGACCGATGGAGACCAGTAACTAATCTATTAGCCAATCGTCCATGCTATTACGAAGATGCATGCTCACACATACATATGCATACATACACTTACACGACATGCTTAAGCTACCTGGGCATGCATGGTGTTAGTGTACGTACACACCAACAAATTAGAATACGTGAAGGTACTTGATAGTGGATATTAGCACTTGTTGCCTATGACAATTGGGACCCAGTAATAATATTCTAATCGATGAAAGCTAGCCTCTTAGTTCTCATATGCACAGCAGCTAGGTTTGCTCATGCAATTCTATGCCTAGTGGGCCCAAACAAGAATTTAACCATCGTCTATTGGAGCTCATAAGAAAATAAATATTAAACAAATATGCCTATGATAAATAGGATCTATAGTTTCTTAATCAAGGTCAGCAACATCTAGATGCATGCATCGACAGATGGGGCCATGCATCAGGCCACGATGTCACACGCATTTACTCGTACTGAAGCAAACCAATTCAGCTAATGCAACACCGGTGACGATTAGCTCATTCCATATTCTACTATCTAATCAAGAAATCCAATATATCTTGAGCGAGAGTTCAAACATGCAGGGATGCTCCACTGCATGCGCGCGCGCACACACATTTACACGCTATATATGCAAGGCACTCACACATGCAGGTTAGTACACGTATACATCAATTAAGTTACATATGCTCATCTATTCTATTCAGGCTAAATGCAGAACGATATGCATATGCGAGCGTGTACTTTTATTCCTAAGAAAATGACATAATCAAATTTAACTTGAAGTTATTTATCCAACCTAGCCATTAATTTACTTAATTAATAACCCGTAAAATACGGGGTATTACACGATATGAACCATAGACTACGACTTTGACTAGCTCGTCTCTTGACTCGAAGTCACGGTCACCCCAAGCGAGACAGTCAATACTCAATAAACAAAAGGCAGAGCTACCTGCCATATATGTATAGACATCCAGTACAAAGGGACTGGATCTCGCAGTGCACCATACAAGAGGCATTGTTTTCTTGCTAAGATCCAACGATGGCTTCCGCGAGCTCATCAGCCCACTTATATTCTCTCGCTTTCATGTGCCTCTTCTACTGCTTCTTCGTGCTATGCCTGCACGTACCTTCATGGTCATCGGTTTCATTCAGCTACAACTTCAGCAACTCAACTGCTGATGACCCCTGCAGTCTCGACATCGTGTGCCATCCCGACGCCGAGTTCGTCAGAAGCAGAGGTATCGAGCTGACAACGAACCTCCTCTCCGAGTCAATTAACAACAGCACAGGTCGAGTGTGGTACAAGTATCCAGTGCCGCTGTGGAATGAAGACACCGGCGAGGTAGCAAGCTTCACCACTAGTTTCTCCTTCAACATCACCCCGACGAACTCCAGCCAGTACCAGCAGTGCCAGAACTGGTCATCTCGAACGGCCGACGGGATGGCCTTCTTCCTCGCGCCTTGGCCTAACCCTAACCTGAGCAGCGGCGGCGTCGTCCTGCCCAATGCAGCCACAACGTTTGGCGAGTACCTCTACCTCTTCAACAGCAGCAATTATTTCAATGCGACGGGTGACGGCCGGGTTGTTGCCCTTGAGTTCGACACCTACTCTGCCGGTAACAACTGGGTGGGACGCCAACAGCTCCGGCCAGCACATCGGCATCGATGTCAACTCGATCATGTCCGTGACGACCACAGATACACCGGGGATGAACAACCTCACATCCCCCTTCACCAAGGCCGCCATGATCAGCTACAACAACGTGACCAAGAAGTTAGCCGTCGACCTGCATGTTAACGGCACCACATACCGCGTCAACGCGGGCGTCAACCTTACACAAAGCTTGCCCAAGACAGTGGCCGTCGGCTTCTCTGCATCAACCGGAACCTGCGTCGAGCTACACGAGCTCCTGTCATGGTCCTTCAACTCCACACTCCAAGGACCCAAGGCCAAAGCGGCCAAACCAGAGCCCTCGGCGAGATTACTACTCCGGGTACTAGTTCCTGTAGCATCTCTCCTTGTTTGTGCTGCAGGTGTGGGTCTTCTCCTATGGAGAAAGATGATGCGTGCAAGAAATGCCCGGCCACGCCTAAGGGCCGACAGCGAGGAATCCGATGAGCCAAACAACGGTGAGGCGACCGCCGCCTTCGCCTTCGAAATGACCGTGGCCGGACCAAGACGTTACCACTACCATGATCTCGCCGCTGCAACCGGCGGATTGGGGGAGGAGAATTTGCTCGGGCGAGGGGGATTTGGCAGCGTGTACCGGGGCAGCCTCCCCAGTACTTCCAACGAGGATGAGATGATCCAAGGACAGCAGCAGCAGGGGCAGGAGGGTAGCCATCAAGAAGTTCTCCTCAGAGTCATCGTCTCAGAGCCGGAAAGAGTTCGAGGCTGAGGTAATGATCATAAGCCGCCTTAGGCATCGCAACCTTGTGCGGCTGCTAGGCTGGTGTGATAGCCGCAGAGGTCTCTTGCTCGTCTACGAGCTCATGCCCGAAGGAAGCCTGGATAAACACATCCATCATAGCACGGACAGAATCTTAAATTGGCCCGAGAGGTACAACATGTTGCATCCTGTCCTTGTTTTACAACTACTAATTAGTAAATGCATTAGACATTATAGGCTTCACTATTCAATCAACCCTTACTTTTGAGAAGGGTTAGAGCATATAGTACGTGGAAGAATTAATACTAGGCTTCATATATATTTACAACTAATCAAAATTGTTTACCTTAGCTTTGCGCACACTTCCTCTCTATGTTTTTACTAACACAACAATATAATACCTGTTAGATACTTCAAGATCTTTGTTCTGACCTAATAATACAAATATTTCACCGTATATTTTTTAGACTTTTCCCTTTGCATCACACCACTATGTAGAATACATATCCATTGCCTATTATTTAATTTCTACAAGCTATAGGACTGATGGCTCCATGTTTCTGAACTTTATAAGGATATATACGTGTAGGATTTACCCTTTTTTTCTGTATGTATCTTGTGAATATTAAGTTGGAAGGTCCTCATCAACGGATTAGTAATAGTAAGATTTTCCATGGACGCATTCAGTGGTATTAACTAACCACAAAGTACAAACCTTTGGTGATACTTAAATTGAATATTATTAGGTACAAGATCATTTTGGGATTGGGCTCAGCGCTGCACTACCTTCACCGGGACTGGGACCAACGCGTCGTGCACGGTGACATCAAGCCGAGCAATATCATGCTTGACTCGTCCTACAACGCCAAGCTAGGAGACTTCGGTCTCGCACGCCTCGGCGACCATGGCACCGGCCCACAGACGACGGACCTCGTCAAGGGCACCATGGGGTACATCGATCCAGAGTTCGTCAACACGCACCGCCGGAGCACGGAGTCAGACATCTATAGCTTTGGCGTCGTCCTGCTTGAGATCGTCTCCGGCCGACCACCCGTGGACCGCCGGGATCCGTCTTTCTCGCTACTCAAGTGGGTAGAGACCTTGTACTGCCAAGCCGTTGGCTGCATCCTGGACGCGGCTGACGCACGGCTGCGGGGAGACGAAGCCCACGACCGGCAGATGGAGCGCGCTCTGCTCGTTGGGCTCTGGTGCACGCACCGTGACCCCGAGCAGCGCCCATCCATCGCAGAGGGCATGCATGCCCTGCAGTCCGAGGAGTGGAAGCTGCCGGCGCTCTCCTTACACATGTACAGCAAGCTGACGACGTCGCCATCTGCTGGCATCGTTGCCTCGACGGGCGTCGACTCTGGTATCTCCGGCAGCTCCTTCTCCAGCGGAGTCCGCTCGGCAGAGACTGCTGTAACGACGGCAGGCTCGTCCGAGTTATCGTTTGCCAGTGTACCACCCCATTCTACGTGGTAGTAATTATTGTTGTGTACTACTCCCTCCATCCCAAATTATAAGTCATTCCAAGAATCTTGAAGAGTCAAAGTTTTTCAAGTTTGACCAAATTTATATAACAAAATAATAATATTTATCATACCAAGTAAGTATCATTAGATTCTTCATTAGTTATATTTTCATATTATACCTATTTGATGTCATCAATCTTTGTGTTTCTCTCTATAATTTTAGTCAAACTTGAAAAAGTTTGACTCTCCAAGATTCTTGGAATGACTTACAATTTGGGATGGAGGGAGTAGTACTGTTCAAACTTAACAAACTGCTGCTTGTCGCTGCTCCAAGTTAGGATTTTACATGTACTGCGTAATGTTCACGCTTCAGGGGTTTTCTCGTTTCCCAGTATCTTTATTTTCTACGGTTGTGCATTCTACTCCACATACTAGTGTACATATATTTAGTTAGGGACTGCTGCAAATAGGCTCGCACTTTTTTTTTCGGTACCAATGTCACCAACTCACCATTGCATCTGACTAATATAATGCTCACTTTGTTCTTAATTATAAGACATTATGTTTTTTCTAATAAATACATAACTTTTACTATATATCTCGACATAATGGATTTCTAAATACATAGAAAAGCAGTGGCAGAGGGAGGGAGGGGCTGAGCGGGGCCAGGCACCTCCAAACCCATAGTACCCTCTCTATTTAGCAAGATAATCTCTAATAATGTACTAGTTAACTATACTAACATGTGTCTAAATTGCTAATTCTTTCTCTGTGTTAATCTAGTAGTATCTATATAATCTAGTATTGGTATTTTTATTATCTTCTCCATCTCTTTCGTCCTTGTTCTCGTTGTGATTTTATTACCTACCGAGTCCACCAATAATTAACTAGTTATATAAATATAGTTAGTGTTTTTCTTGTTTATTCTCCCTCTGCATTTATCTCCAACGACATCTATTTTGTTTACGATTTGCTTTCGTCTCATCTCATCTCCTTTGTTTGCATTATTACCGTGACTCTGTTTTGGCCCAAGAATTAGGTTGATCAGGTGAAGGTTAGGCACCAAGGTGTAATTCAATTTCGTTCCGCTTTTCTTTATAAAATTGAGTGTGTGTTTTTAGTTTTAGCTTTCTTTGTATCGTAAAAAAATGTTTATTTAATAATTATCTACGCCCTTGTTATGTATATATTTGACCATGATCGTTGTCGGTTTGAGCAGCCCCTTATGTTCAAATCCTGGCTCCGCCCCCATTACGGATGAACGTGAGGCCATGGAAATTACTCAACCATGGGTAGGCTGTTCAGGTGGGTGGTGCAAAGACCAGAGGAAGTCGTGGCAATGGCGCACAGGGAGGAAGGCTGTGCTGTACGATAAACAAGAGGCAGGGGTACGGTGGACGCTGTGAGCAGCATGGGCTTGTTTAGATTACGCACTAATGTTTAGTCTGTCGTTGGATAATAGGCTAAACATAGACTAATTAAATTTTTTAATAAGTTCTACTCATCAATTAGCCTCTATTAGTTTTTTAACCATGATTAGTTAATGTTTAGGCCCTGAATTATTTGCAGCCTCCCATGTGCCACATGACCAGGAGCAGCATGTACTACTCCATCAGCCTGCTGCTAGACTGACGGCGACTAATGAGGCGACGACGACTTGACTCCAGACTCTTGAGGTCTCCCCTGCTCACTTGCATTGGCTGCTTGCTAGTACTCGTACGAGGTACTACATCTGAACGCGCGGTCTGTCTGGAGGAGGCATGCACCATTCACGCGTTCTCGATCATGATCAATGGTGGGCGCCGACCGCTGAGACAATGTAATAATGGGAGGTTATTATTAGTGGGGCATCAGGTTATTATTACATGGTGTTTTGGTGGGAGGACATGTGCATGTCAAGCCACCAGTGGGTAGTGGCAGACCCAGGATTTACCAAAGCCAATTTTCAGTGGCGAAACGACGTAGATACACCATAGTGTATATGACTATATACATAATAGATATTCTTAAGGAAAGTTTGCAATAAAGTACGGTACAGTATAGTACATGATTCTCATGAAAATAACATGGAACATTAGAAAATAAAAAAATACCTAGTGCTAGTGATGATTTGGTTCATTGGCATCTTCCACTTCCATGTTCTTAATAACAACTCCTAGTTTGGACAAGATATAAGAGTTAATAAGAACAGGGACAGCCAAAAAATTAATCTTATTGACTACTATGCATTTGTATCCTAAATTGCTGAATGTAACATACCTGAAGTACTAGGTAGATTAGGTAAATTCTTCTTTCGGGTCTTCAATTCTTGAAAAAATGATGTAAGATGTCATCATTTTTAATTAGCAGTTGAAATCAAAACTAGCAGAGATTACTTGAAGTAAATAAAGAGAAGAACTGAAGAAATACCTTCACAGCTTCACACAGGGGGGCTCCGGCAGCCAAGGGGCAAGGGCCGAGGGCGTGAGGCTCGGCCCTGCCTGTGAGGGCGACGGCGTCCGCTGGCAGGTGGGGGCCGCGCCGCCTCGGGGTGGAGAGCGGGAGGCAGGAGGCGGGAGCTGCGACGCGTGATAGGAGCTGCCGAGCGGGAGGCGGAAGAGTCGCGAGCCGTGACGGCGTGAGCGACCGAGACAACGAGCGACTCCGTGGTCTGCTCTACTCTCCTCCTTACTGAGTTGTTCGTTGTTGGGCCAAAACTGAAGACCTGCTCCTAGAAAATATGGGCCGCGACTAGGGCCATGGCCCTACTGGCCCTAGGCCTGGGCCCGCCCCTGCCAATGGGACACATGGGTCTGTGTGGTTCAGACCCAGGAAAGCTGAGTGGCACTACCCCATGACACACATTTGCCCACAGTTATCTGTTGGCAAATGGTTGGTTTCAACTACACACTATGTGTTGGTAATTGTATAACCCTTTTAAAGTCATGTAATCTGTCTCAATGGTGTTGTATGGCTACATGTCAGGGTTATGATACCCCGAGTATCTCAAGACACCGATTAGTCAGCCGCTCGGGCGGCCCATGACGACCAAGCTAGCATAAGCCCAGCAGCCGTGGCCCATCTAAGCCCCGCGCAGCTGGGCCAAACACTAGGGCAAGGGGTCGACCACGACCTCACCCTTCTCCTTTCTCTGTGAGCAACGCAACACTGCACAACCTCTCCTCTGTTCCGACCCCAGAAGGAATGGGGAGAGGTCGAGCTCCAGCAAGTGCGCCTGCTCTTGAGCAGGCACGCCCTGCTCACTCCACCATGACTGAGGAGACAGCTATCCCCTTGGTCTAGATGGACACCATGCCTGCACCGCGCAGCATAGACAAGACAAGACCGCCGAGCGTTGACGACAGGTACGGTGAACCACCGTCCAAATATGGCCCGATGGGATGGGCGTATGGCCCCACCCACCATGGGATGGGGCTCACGACTACGGTCTTGAATTCCAAGGCCAGCCAAGCCAACGAAGGACACAACCCCGGAGCTCGGGATCGTGGTCAACAGCTCCACGACCAGCAAGACAACCAATGACCCGGGGACGGCTACAAACTCATGTACGACGCCCCGTGAAAACAGGAAACAATGACGAAGGCCACAGTGAGACCACGTCGCAAGGACGGCTGACGAACCACCACCATACCAACAGTGTCGTCACGGCCGGCACTATAGCACCACGCACCCCATTGTTGGCGGTCCTCAACGATCAATTCTAACCGCCAATTAAGACATAAAAAGAGAAGAAATTGACATACTTATGCACATATGCCTTTAATATTAACCTAGTTCCACATGTATTTGGAGATTTCTATTTTGCAGGACATAAACACGAATATATGGGAAAATACACCAAAAGGCGCATTCCGACAAGGCGTAATGCTGAATTGCGCAAGGGAATAAAGAAGAAGGCCCAACCTACCCAAAGTATTTGGGCACAAAACCACTCAAGGAGTAGCCCCGGACCAACCAAGGATCCACCACGCGAAGGCGGTGGTGAGACGGGCTGGCTAGGGTGAGGGCGCACCGCCCCCAGCTCCGCTCGGTCCTACCTTCGGAAGGTGGTGTCATCAATGCATGCAGAGGTGGTTTAGGATGGTTTCCATGTTTATCTCCCCTGAAACTGACCTCTAGCTATTATAAATAGATGGGAAGATCTCCCCCTAAAACACACACCATTTGGAGCAACACCTCATCTCTGCCTTGTATTTTTACATTTTAGTAGTCATCTAGAGCAAGGCAAAGCTACCTTGGAGGGCTTGACTCCTTGGAAGAAGAGATTCTTGGTATAAATAGCAATATGAGTTCTTTCAAAGTCTTGTTCCTTACTTATAATTATAGTCATACTTATGAACTAGAGTATAGTCTTTATGTTATGATCTTAGCATATGAACTAGTATATAGTTTTTATGTTATGAGATTAGCATATATGACTTTATGCTTAATTATTCATATAATTAATATGATTAGAATTAGAGTTCAGTTGAGGTGGCGGTTCATCGTGCCTTCGGGGTGTCCCGGGGGGATTTGGGTAGTTTCTGTATACACGGGCGTGGTGCTCGGGTATGGAGAGACAGGTGAATGCATTGTCCTTCTCCACGGTTGAGGGGTACGCGACAGGTGGTGACAGCCCTGTCCGTCCCTTGTAATCCCATCCTGTAGTGGGTAGAATCGTACATGCATCTTGTTGGACCGTATTTGGGCGGCGGGTCGCCGTACTGATAGTCACTGCCGTGCGGTGTTGTCTTGTCTGTGCTGCGTGGTGCAGGGATGGCGTCTGACCGGACCGAGGTGACCGTTGTCCCCTCAGTCCTTACAGGGTCAGTGCGGCATGCCCACTCTTATCATAGCAAACGCACTTGGCTGGGCTCGACCTCTCTCCGTCCCTCCCAGGGGTCGGGCGATGGAGAGGTCGTGAGCTTCTTGTGCATCGTGTGGTTAAGGCAGAAGGGAGAGGTTGTGGCCGACCTTGGCCTTAGCATCTGGCCTGGTCCGCTTGGCTTAGCTAGGCCTCGATTGTTTGGC